TGACTTTTCAAGACCCCGGGAAATTGCCATGTTTTTGGACTTTTCCGAGTGGAAAAGCGGAGGAATCGAGAAAAGTCGCAGAGGAAAAATGTGGTAGACTCGTCAAAATGATGCTCCTCAGGAGTTATAAAGTATGTGGTAATCAACTTTCCAGGAGGGGCCTGTACTGTGGACTATTAGGACCAACCACTACAAAAGAAGATTACAGAGATCAAAAAATTCGAGAATAGGTCAAAAAATGCGACGCGAGTAGATGCGCTAAGCTCACCAAGTATGTTAGTTTTTCGCAAATCTCAAGGGAATGCTAAATTAGAAGACGATACTTTTGAAGCTGAAGGTGTAATATATGGAGCAGGCATCAGTGATTGAGGGTAAAAGACTATTTTTTTGGAAATGTGGTATATTAAAGAAAACTTTAAACGCATTTTTCTCAAAATGTTTTTTGACCTGGCCGACATTCTAAAGAAAAAAAAAAACTATTGCACTGTTCAAGCTCAACAGTCGTTGAGATCCCAGATTAATACCTTAAATAAATAACTTTATATTTGTTTAATCTTTTACGGTTTTTCTCAAACTGTTATATCACTGCTTTCTAACGTGTAACTTGCTTGTTAATGTGGTATTACACATATTTTGTTAAAGCTTTAGAATTTTGCTAATGTCAATCTAGACATTTTGGGATATTCCAACTCAACAGCACAAACCCTATTCTGTTGTACTGCGTGTGGGATACAAGACATATCGTCCCGTGACCTTACCACGAGCATCAGTAGCTGGCTTTATTTATTACATTCTTACATTCTAAATTTGTATTGATAATATCATTATAGTGTACACGCTTTTTTTGCTTAAGAATCCGATACTGATTATGCTGTATTTTTGCTAGTAATAGAATAAAGTAAATTTAAACATGATTTAATATCGGAATGAATATTTAATGGAAGCAATGCATTTAATATAAATCTTTATTCCGACGTAGGTACTATAGAAGCAAAAATGAAAAGTGTTGCCATTCAGTATACGGGATATATTCAGTTTTAACAATGATACAGTAAAAAATTTATTAATTCAATTTAAATTATAACATTCTTTTTCTTCAAAACATTGTGGTAAAATAATACCATTTTAGATAGCCTAATTTAAATTATTAATAAATTAAATACCAGTGCCATCTAAAAATAAAAAAGTAAAAAATACTGAAATATAAAATACATACTACTCGTAAAACTGTTTAAAAGGTTGTAAAACACGAAGGGCAGTTAATGATTATGTGTACAATATTTTGCTCTAGAAGTTAGACCCGTCACACTTATTCTAATATACCAACGAAACAGATAGCCAATAAAATGACAGATCCACCTTGTCGTCAAAATGTGAATGTGTATTAATTATTAATCTAAATATATGTATGTATATATGTATTCGTCGGTGATCTCCGGCCTATGGTTTGTATTCTTTGAGTGTTTCCAATTTCTGTTTTTGTTCCAGTGTATCATTTTGAGCAATTAAAAGGGTAAAGCACAACCCCATAGCTAAGCCCAATACCTTCATTCCCGCCAATTTAGTAACCTAAAACATACATTTATTAAGTAGTAACCTGCAAGATTGAAAAAATACATTTTGGTATTATTATACAGTGACGCTTATAAGCGCCCACGTGATTTATGCGCAAGTACCGCAGACACTTTAAAGAGCTCGGAACCATCTGTCATGATATGGCAAAAAAATATGCCAAAATAATAGGACACTTCTAAGTGTCCAATGGCATCAGGGTATTATCAGTAGACCGTAGTGCCACAGGCGCTTATAAACATTTTTTTAAGTGGTGCTATTCAAGAAGCTAAAATTAAATTTGTACTCAATTTTAAATAATTACAGAACACTAGCTTCAAAATTTTACATAAATGTGACTTTAGGATCTAGGTGACATGAAGATGAAATGCATCGGCAGGAAACGCGTTAACAGAAAATGTTTTTTAACACCACAGAAATGGGACAATCCCCAAATCCAAAGCCAAAAGCTGTGCGGACAGGGGCTTCACTTGAAAAAACGTGGACAATCACCCATTATCCATCGACATTGCCAATGTCGATGCCAGGGATTGTACCGGGACCGGAATAGGAAGTCTGACCGAGAAATGTTTGCCACTACACGCTCGACCGACTACGCTACTGTGGTGATGTCGATAATATTCGACAATGAATGGTGCAAAATCCTAAGCAACCTGTTTCGCAGTTATCTACTCAAACTGGTACTGCCATAAACTTAATACAGTTTGAATTGTTAATTTTTTAACTTAAAAATAAAGTTAAAAATAATTGATAATTAAATAATTTTGAATTTTTTTTAATATTACTATTTCTTTAGAATGTATTTTCACTTTAACACTTACTCCTTTATGCTGATTAATTTGTGTATTTACATAAAATAACTACATATTGATAATATGTATCTATACTCGGCGGTCAAAATTATAGAGTGACTCATCGCTAACTTCTGAACTATAGTAGGATCATATTCGATGCAAAGTAATAAATCATTGCCTGTCAAGGGAACCAATGAAGTACGCTTTTAAGGGTTTTACAAATTGAATAATTTCTTTATACATTATGAAGGGACGAGGGGATCAGTTCCGGTCTGGCACCCTTGTTCCTACAAAAATTCCTTTATTCTCATAAACTATTTATTTTAAATGTAATTTATTATAAATCCAATTTGTTTCCTAAATTCCACATATGTACTACATTTTACCTCTGTACGTGCCACTGTTGTTTACTTGTTTTTTGGAAGCGTTCTCTAATTGACGGCAAAGCTCGCCAGGTTAGTATTTGACGTATAACCGACCAGTTCGTACACTCGATGCACCTGGGCGACTACAGCTACTACCAGAACACAGTGCGTATGCAGCGGTATTTCAGATTTTACATTGAATTTCATTTTAAATTTGAAATGATTTATCTTACGCCTCCTAAAAATGATGACACGATTTTCCTTTGATAAAAGACCGACAACTTTTTGCTCTACTTTGCATCGAATACGATCCTACTATAGTAAGGGGGATGAAGCGTGCCGGGAACGAAAATCCATTGCCGTGGCTGCGTAAAAGGCAACAAGATATAGAAAATATTGAAAAAAATAATAAAACATCTAATATTTTTTTACGCTTTGCTATAACCGGCACTTTGATCCTTTTTAATTATTACACCATTTTAAAACGTCCCAGTTGTGTTTTTTAATTTATAAATTTATTATAGCCACGGAATTAGACCCCTCGTCTACGCTTATGCTATGACGTTTCTCAGCACGGGTAAATCAAGTCCGTTTACACCCACTAAAAAAGCATTTCCCTATTCCCTACCAAGTGCAAAAGACAGAGATAGAATATAGATCGACGTTTAGTGTTACTCAGTCTATAGACGATCATAGATTCTATCGATGTGCGTAGCGAGCGGCACAAAGATAAATAATATTGAACCGCTATAAAAATCATTTTATATTTTACACGCGTTATGGTAATAGTGTTTTTATATTATATCTGACTCTCTATAATTTCGATCGCGGAGTATAGGTGTATCAGTTAAGACGTATCACAAAGCATTAAAGAAGCAGCTGCATATCCTATAAGGTTTCTGTTGTGCAACAGTATAATATTGTCAATGGTTTAATGAACATTTAAATGATGATAATTAACATTTTACAAGCCCTGGAATTAATGCATGACAATAAAAGGCAGCATAGCAGATGGAGCCACAGCATACACTGCAACAGAAACTATTAAGATATCTTCAGGAATTTTATGGTGATAGATTGATTACTAGGGAATTGTGGCCTGCACGAAGGCCTGATCTCACACCTTCAGATTTTTATCTATTTGACCATATCAAAAATAAGATATTTAAACATCCTCACCACACACTTGAACAGCTGGAAGCAGCAATTTAACATGAAATAGACGTTATAACACCAAATGTAGAATGTGTTTTTTGAGTGCACAAAACGCAGAGTAAATTTGTGTTTGGAAAATGAACTTGTAGCAGGACTCCTGAAATCTCGATGGCGTTTTATCGATATCGAGATAATTAGGAAACCAATCGTGATCGATTACACTCGAAATGTAAATTGGTACTCTTGAAGCACATCGATATAGTCCTTGGATAAGTTCGGCAAATTTGGGGTAATGTTCTATACCACCACAGTTAAGGCAAATGAGTGATATGTTTATTTCTGTCTAACATACATATTTCAGCTATTTATCTCTTTTTGTCTGGCGGCGGCGTCACGCAGTTTATTTAAATTTTAAAATGAATACCTATCATCAAATAAATAAACAGAAGTTTATAAAATTATTTATTTAGTCTAAACAGTAAATCATGAAAGTTGATTTAAATGTACTTTATATTTAAAGGTTTTATGCATACATACTCAACAAATTATTGACATTCCACATCCAAAATTTTTATTCGGTTTGAAATAAAAAACATAAAATACTACCTATGATTATAATTATTGTTGAAAAATTAGAGCGACGAGAAGCATTTAGGAATGAAAATATTTGGAGAAGACAGTTAAGAGGTTCAATGGATCCATTAATCTTTACCGGACAAAAAATTTGTGTAATTATTTCGCTTACATAAAAATATTATATGTTAATTAATTATGTCTATTGTTTGACATTTAAAAGTAAAAAGAACTTCGGAAACAATTCAGTTCAACATTAAATTATTTTGTGCTTTCTGGTTTTATGCACGGTGAAAATCACTGGAATGAGTAGACTTCTTGCTTCAAGTCAACAAACTATTAATAGAGGTATAAAGAAAGTCACATATAAGTTATTTATTAAAACCTCTCCAACAATTGGATAAAATCACCAACATTAGAGAAAAATATTCCGGTAAATACACACTCATTACAAGAACAAGATTTGTAATATGCAGTATTTATATTTATTTAATGCATAGGTACCATTTTGTTTATTAATATCAATGATTGCTCCTGAAGAAGAACATAATTATGTAAACAGAAAACGTATCATTCAAAAACTGTTCAAATAGTTGTAGATATGTATAAACAAGTATTTGGCACTTCACATTGGGTTAGGTTAAATACCTACGTAAAAATAAACAAAACACAAACGCAAACACATATTTGCAATGTTGAAAAGAAACAGCAATAGTCAATACATGTGATAGAAGAGAGCAAATCATTTCGGCTAGCCAAGACTCCTCGATATTATATCGATTCGAATGGTCGGGGTTTTGATATTATTTCGATGGCAAAATTTTCAAGGGTACCGATATATCGATATTATTTCGATCTCGATTCGGAATCATCGAATCGACATTTCGGGAGTCCCTACACTGATCATTTTGAACATCTATTAAAAATTTGAGTAATATATTAAGTTTTTGTTAGCTGAGCAAAAAACTTTGTGTTTATATTAGCATTGTAAGTTAAATTAATTTACCTATAATTTATATTTAAATATTGAAAAAAAAAATTAAAAAACATTGAAATATTTGTATGTTTGTATATTTGTGTTAGCTGAGCAAAAAACTTTGTGATTATGTTAACATTGTAAGTTGAATTAATTTACCTGTAATTTATATTTAAATATTGAATTTAAAACATTGAACCTTCCTCAATTAGAAAATACTTTTTTAATACAGAATGTGATAAAAATTCAAAATATCTTAAGAGTATGATTATTTTGTGTTCAATTAAAAAAAAAAACAATTTTTTTCATAGAATCAAAAATCAGATTTTGCATATTAAAGTTCAATGTTTGTAAAGAAATATTTGTACTCCACTGGACTATCCTGTCTTTAGGGAATTCTGAGTGTACGTTTGGTTGCCTAACAGTCGTAGTCATGCAGGACTTGTGCATTTATAAACACACTGTAATTCTCTATATTCTTAAAAAAAAAACAAAATTAATTAAACTTACCTCTTTTGGAACTGTACTAGTCTTCTGCATGTCCCCAAAGCCTAGTTCTCCATAGCAAGGGGAAGCACCCCAAGCAATCACGCTGTCATCCGCAGCTACAATTATGGAAGTGTTTCCCGTACCAATATATTTTATATTCCATCCAGCTAAGTCCTGAACTGGTTTGGGATACATGTTGGCTTCCCCAGTTTTTTTAGTCTGCCCAAACATGAATAAACCATTATATTCTGTTACTGCTAAGGAGTACGTTGAGCCACAATGGACAGATCGCACACCACGAGATTGGCTGTCAAAATACTTTATTAATCTAGGAACCTGTAAGTATAGTTTAATTTAAATAGACAACTTTGTCATCACCAACAATGGGTTTAATCAAATGTTCAATTGTCAAACAAAATTCTCCCACATATTGGGTCATTCTCACAAGGGTCAGCGCAAAATAACATGTGAAAGTTTGGTTTAATCAGGTAATAGAGGTGTTATTGCCTTACCATTTCATCTCTCTGCTCAGCATGGCCAAGTCTTCCAAAACCACCAAATCCCCAGGAAAACGCTCTTTTCTTGCTATCTATAGCCACTGTATGGTTCTGACCGCAGCTAAAGTCGACAATTTCTGTTACATCTACTGGAGAAACATGGCCATCTTTGCTTTTCTCAATATACAGCACTATTCTCTTTGGGCTCGTTTGAAAATGAAAACAAAGCTTGGTACTGGTTTTGAAATATTTTCCATCTGTATTATGACCTAACTGCCCATATTCGGGTAAACCAAAAGAGTGAAGCCCACCCTTTATATCAAGTATTACTGAGAAATCGGCACCTGCTCCAACCTGAAGAAAGAACATAATAAGGGATGTTATTCAAAGAACTACTGTAGTTTTAGGAACACCTTTTGAAACAAGTTTTGAAACAAATTTAAAAATACTACCAGGACTGTGAATTAATTTTAAGTAATTTTTTTGTAAATTCAAGGCTTTATCCGATGGAGTAATATCTGGTGAATATGACGGGTGATATAAAACATCCCAATTGAGTGTTTCTAAGTATGTTTTGCCTTCATCAGCAAGATGTGTTCGAGCGTTGTCATGTTGAAAAATTTTCTTTATCGTGCCTTTGTTCGAATTGCGGCCGTTTTTCCTTCAATACACAGCTTAAATGCATCAATTGTATTCGGTTGCGTTTACCAGTGACAGTTTCATTCGGTTGAAGTAGCTCATAATACAAAACACCAAGCTGTTCCCACTAAATACAGAGCATGAGCTTTCAATAATAAACATTTGGCCTTACCGTCGATGTTGATGCATGACCAGGGAAACCCCACGATTTTCTACGTTTAGGATTATTATTATAGTATATCCATTTTTCATCGCTAGTGATAATACGATGCAAAAAAAAAAACATTTTTTTGCTATGTGAAAAATCATCGTTCAACATCTCTCGGTTTAATTCGTGTGGCACCAAATTGCCTTGCTTTTAAGGATTTTTTGACACCCCGAGCTCCATCAAACACAGTTAGCTTGAATTTGATTGTGTTAGGAGTTTGAGTTAGTATTTGACAGAACTCGCAAAAATTCTCTTGGTTTAGATATCTAAATTCAATAATAAAATCATAACCTATGATAGTGATCGTAGCTTAAGGTTGTTTATTTCTCATATAAAGTGTTCAAATAAAAACGTGGTCAAGTTGGTTCTGAAAATTTGGACGTAGGGCGTAGCGTATAGAAAATGAACTTAAACGTCATCTGTCAAAGCGCTATATCGCCGCTATCAATTTGAATATTTTCGTTTTAAAAAACGTTTAAAATGGTGTTTTCTCAAGAACAAAAAGTGTTTATCGTAGAGTCCTACTTTAGAAATGGACGCAAGATTGATGGAATATGGAAGTATTCTATTGAGGAATGTTTCATAGAATTTCAAAATCAATTTCCCGGCGTTGTCGAGTACAAAATTTTTCAAAGTGCAGTTCAGCGTTGTGTTAATGTTTTTCGTGAAACGGGCAGTGTAACAAGAAAAGAAGGAAGCGGCCGACCTAAAAAGCGGGCTGAAGAATTAAAAGAAAATGTCCAACAAATAATGGAAAATGCGCCAAGAACTTCTGTACGTGTTTTATCACAAATGGTGGGAGTATCAGTCGGTACCTGCCACACAGTGTTAAAAAAAGATTTGCGTTTGTTCTCCTATCGTTTAGCTTGTCAGCAAGAACTTCATGAAGTTGATTTTCCGCGACGGGCTGTATTTTGTGAATGGTTTTTAAACAACTACGGTGAACTTCATAATATCACCTTTTTTTCTGATGAAGCCTGGTTTCATTTCACTTTCCGCAGCTCCTATTGTTATCACGATTATTCTTTAAAATAAAGTTATATAGTCATTAACGTTATTGAAACTGACAGCTGCTATACAGCTCGTTGAGAAATGAGGTTAAGTTAGTCGCTATAAGCTACTCCCTACGTCCAGTGTGTCAGAGCCAACTTCGACCACGTTTTTATTTGAACGCTCGTTACTAGTTGTTATTCCTAATTTGAAATGCACATTCATGAAGCAACGTTAATGTAGATGATCTATCTAATTTCAATGCATCTCTAATAAATGTAATAAACAGTAACAAATACATACTTAAAAACAAGGGGAATGGTTATGGAAGAACTGAATATTGTTTTGCTTTAAACATTAGAGAAAAGAATTACCAATTACCAAATTTTTACGAAATATGGATTGATAATTATTTATCACGACTTTTACATTCATTTTAGAATGGAAACGGAAACTAATGTTTACATATTTTTAAATAAATTGTTTTAATTCGTAACTATATTCAACATTTGTTGAATATATTCCAACGTAAATGCATCGTCTAAAAGGAAGTTAATAAAGATCTATAGAGTACAATATGGAAAATGCATATCTACCATGTTGTAAACGATTAAAGTTATTTGGATCCTCTTATTACTATTTTTTTACTATCAATTTTAAATATTACTTTGTGTTTTACAAAGAGAATCCATTACCAAATTGTTTTATTTACACCTTACACCTAACCTAACCTCTAAAAAAAACGAAGTGGTGACTAGATACGAGACAGAAAATAAATAAACAAAGATATTAGTATTAACTTAGGATCCAAACCCAACGCACAAGTCCGGTTTGATAGTTGGCAAACTTGGCCAAACCGGGTTAAGTACATTTCTCGCCAAAACATCAAACAGCACCAAACTATAGTTAAACAGGTTAGCAGTTTTCTCGCTAAAAAAACCCTGTTTGAATCATTGGAAACTGTTGTGTGATCAACATTCACTGATTCAGCAAGTTCATCTTGCGTTTGACATGAATCTTGGTCGAGTAATGCTTCCAATTCCTCATCTTCGAACTTTTTCGGTTGAGGACGTTCTTTGTCAACTGTATCGAAATCACCATTTCTAAAACGTCGAAACTAATACTCACACGTTTTTATCGATTGAGCATGTTTCCAACAGCATTCAATAACTTTCAGCAGCATTTCTTTAAATTAAACAGGAAAAGTAAAACTTCAAGCAAATGACGTTTTGTTGTTGCGTAATTGGACATCTTCGGAGCTGACAAAAAATATGTTGTTTACACTTCAACAAATAACACACTATAAAAAGTAAAGCCTAATGAAAGAGCTTTGACACACCATCTTTCAATCCCTCAAAATTAATTCACAGTCCCTGTATATTACTTGGGCCAATTTTCAATTAAAATTTAAAACATATACAGGATGTAACACAATAATGTACCAGAAATGAACAAGCATTAAAAATATTTATATATAAGTATTTGCCTTCGAAGGCCTCATTTTCGAGATGGTGTTAAAGTTGAAAAGAAAAAGTTTTACATTTTTAAAGGTCTTATTGGAATAAAGTTTTATGTGCATAATACATGAATAAAATAGCATTCATTGTGACAAAATAAGTCTCATCTTAAACCCTCTCTCTAAAACGAATGCCATAAATGTGTTAGGATGCAGGGTCTATCAAATTTTGAACATAATAGTGAAAACAGTAGTTTTAATTAATTTGGTTGAAATGAGTTTTCTCGAGCCTAGATTTTCAATTCAGCTTCACTTATAAATATGTACTTACGTAAATATTTTTCTACTTTATTTGAGTTTTGCTTCTTTATATTAAAAAAAGCCAGTCCTTTGGGACGTTAAAATAACATGACAGGTTCATATAAAAAATTTTCCTAAAGGGCCGCACTAGGGAGATAAACCTAAACCCTAACTTTTAAAATACTTTCGTGTAATTTAATTATTTTTTAGTAAGATGGACAACAGATAAGACTCCTTAAAAATTGACCCATGAAAACAATTTGGCTTATTTGATTTGTCAGGGACGAACTAACTGATTTTACAAAAGGTATTCATAATAGCATTCCTATACCAATATACTTTTCGGTATAAATTTGCATTTTATTCATATATGTATTGACAGGTAGATACTTTATACACTTCTTACACAACAATGTATAATCATTTTGTATGGAAACATCCCAACAAGCAAGCCACAAAAGAACGAGACTAAAAAAAAAATTAATATATAAATACGTTGTGTACATTATACATACTAAAAACAATAAAAATTGACAAATGATAAATAAACATCTATCTAGCACCGCCCTTTCCAAAAGGGTTTTAAAATTTTATAAACTTCAGGAGTTCTTATCATCAGTTGACAGTTTATTGAACGAAAGGCAACTGTTGTAATAAAACTCATTCTCATAAGTTGTAGTGTTGTTTGTTGATGATCTTGATGTATAGCTGTATGCAAAAATATATTTTTTAAATTTATCTTTATACATGTAAGCATTTAGAAGATCTTTACACTTCTCTGTACAAGATTCTCTTGGAAATAATTTGGATATAATTTTTACTGCTTTTCCATTACAAAAACAGAATCAAAGTTCAAAGCAAAACCCCAATGGATAATTCCAGTTTTAACCCTTTCACTGCTCCAGACGTATATATTCGCTAAAAATTTATTGGGCTCAAACTGCTCCAGACGGATTAATTCGCATGAATAGTTAAATTGGATCAGGCTGCTCAAACCGTATATATTCGCAACCGTGCGCTTAGTGACTCGGTTATTGCAATTGGTAAGGCGAATTTTTGCGGGCGAGCTTATACCGATTGTGACAAATATTTTTATGGAAAGAGGTACTGGTAATAATACCAAGATTGTTCATGTTTCTTTCAGTTTCTATTTAGTACATATACTGTATTTTATTCAAAATAGAATCGTAAAATTTATCGTAAATCGTAATTTAACACAACATAATGTAAAACTATAAGTGGTCTAACTGCTCCAGACGTATATATTCGCGATAAACTTTCGCGCACGGCGCGGTATCTACGTTAAGGGTTAAGGTGGGTATCAGCAGTTCAAATTGCGGAAAACCAATACAACTTCAAAGATAAAAATCTGTTAAAGTTATAAACAGTAATAATACATTATTGGAAATTAGAATGCTTAACTTAAAATTTATTAGTAACTTGGCAAAAGGTGATGATTTTATTCTGTTTACATGGAATTTCAACATAAACTCACATTTATCTGGACTCGCACAATAAAAACGGATACAATCTTCACCAGTGCAGATGCAGTATTTACTTATGTTTCATTGTAAACCAACAAAATATCACGTTTTATAGGACAGATTTAAAAATGTCTATCAGGCTATTTTTTGCACTTTGTTCGTTATTCTGTCAACTCTTGAAATAAATCAGAAGTTACCAAGCTCTAAGTGGCATAGCCATTAAATGTTGATTCAGACAATATATTATGAAGTGACAAACAAACATGATAATTTTGTCTGTATATCATAAAAGAGGGCTTCAATGGCAAATGTTTATATAATATCCTTTTTGGAGAAGGAATACACATCTTTGACACAACTCATAATAAACAATAAAATACTTATATTCAATTACACTTACAAGGAGAAGATAAGGTAGTCGGATTTTTGTAATTTTTTATATTTATGATACGTGTAGTTTGGACCTTGAATAAGAATTTTCCGAAGTAGTTCAACACAACGTTCATAAATTACCAAGATAATCGATTTTGAAGTTTTACCTGACAGCTAAATCCACTAGATGTGACACATTCTTCAACTGGGAGCATAGCCTAATTGGTAGCATTCGGGACTGACAATCACGAGATCGCTGATTCGAGTCTGTCGCGTGACATTTGTTTTTTTTTTCAAAACACACCATATGGTATTTTATTATTTTTTTCATCTCGATAATTATGAACAAACGAAATATTATAATAAATACTTATGTATATGTAGGAATATTCTTCAAATATGTATTTCATTAAAATGCACAATATTTATTATGAATTAACAATAGTTTCTTTAAAAAAAAAAACAAACAAGGTCATTATTTTATTTTTAGTATTTGACATTTTACGCAGTGTGGCATAAGCCAGAATGATAGTTATCATAGAAACATGGGAAGCAGAAATTTTTTCAGCATCTAGCATGTCGTGTATATGTTATGTTTTTACAGGAGCATTTTGTTTTCAAAATATCGACGTCGAAGCAAATTTCGTTCACATTTTGAAAGATTGTTCTTTCATCACACAGTGCTTCTCTACCATTTGTGGAATTTACTGAAACTTTTTATGCCCAAGCAGGCGTGTTCTGTAAGCGGTTTTTTTAAACACGGTGGACGACCCACACAACCTAGCTCAAAATGTTAATTAAACACTTGAAGAATATTCCTACATACAGTTCTCATAATATTTCGTTTGTTCATAATTTTCGAGATCAGAAAAAGAAAAAGAAAGGTAGATGCTTAAAAAATTTCTGCTTCCCATTTTTTTACGATAGCTACCATTCTGGCTCGTGCCACACTGCGTAAAATGTCAAATACTAACATAAATATAAAATAAAAGAACATCCTACCTGACCTCATTTGTTTTTTTTTTAATGAAATCTTATTGTTAATTCATAATATTGTTTATCAACCAATTGTGCATTTTAATGAAATATTTGAAGAATATTCCTACATATACATAAGTATTTATTATAATATTTCGGTTTGTTCATAATTTTCGATGAAAAAAATAATAAAAATCCATATGGTGCGTTTGGAAAAAAAAAAATGTCACACGACGGACTCGGACCAGCGATCTCGTGGCCGTCAGTCCCGAACGCTACCAATTAGGCCACGCTCCCAGTTAAAGAATGTGTCACATCTAGTGGATTTAGCTGTTAGGTAAAACTTCAAAATCGATTATCTCGGTAACTTATGAACGTTGCGTTGAACTACTTCGGAAAATTCTTATTCTAGGTCCAAACTACACGTACCATAAATATCAAAAATTACAAAAATCCGACTACCTTACCTTATCCTTGTTAGTACTCATATTACATGATTTAATAAAAAGAAAGTTAAGGTACCTTAACAATTGGGGGTCCCCTGTAATTAATCCTAGTTGGAGTGAGTATTTGTGGCTGAAGATTTCCAACACCACATTGTCCTGACCTATTATCTCCACAGGCATATACTGTGCCCGTATCAGTAAGGAACAATGTATGATGGCGGCCACATGCAGCTCCTATTATATTCATATTTTCCAAAGCTGGTACTAATTCAGGTGAATTTTTTGTCACAGTATTATCTAATCCCAATTGGCCAAATGGATTTCGACCAAATGTCATTGCTTTACCATCTTCAGTTACAAGAACACAATGAGCTGCCACACATCCACTCACAGCTAGACGAACCTTTAAAGATAATATTTATAGAGTAACAGTACCTGTTTTCTGAAAAATAATAAATATATTTATGTTGTACAAATTTGATATAAATACAGTGCACTCTGCCATATTTTCTTTATGGTAAGCACCTCAAACTTCAAGCAGTTTAACATGCTAATAATTTATTAATGTAACAAAAATTAATATTTAAGTGTATGAATTTTATTAGTCTAAAAGTTATAAACATACCCGAATATCAGTAAATCTATGAGGCCAAAGCAAATTAGGGAGCACTTTCTGTCCTTTAACCTCTTTTTTTCCAGCAGTATCCCAATTGATATTTCCAAAAAAAACAAATTGTCCAGCAGGTTTTATTAAGGTATTAAGTAATTCCTTTGGTAAAGGAGTGGGGTCATCAAGAGCATCTCCATGACCCGCTATTAAAATTTCATCTGGTTGGGTAGTGCTTTCATTTTCGCTACCATCAGTGAGGTCAGAATCTACATCACTATCCTCCTTTCTTTTACCTTTTTTTCCACCAGCCTTTTTCGCAGGTGCTCTCTTACGCTTGGTAGACATTCTAACAACAATGGAGAAATTTAACAGCTTCAACTTAGACAAGATTTAAAAAATATATACTTACATTTTCCCTAATTACGCTTTTTAAAGAAAATAATTAATTAAGAACACCGTATAGTACTAGCTGGTTAAAACATACACAGGTGGTTTTCACAATATCAAAACCGGCTTCCTAAACAAAAAGAAAAATGGCTAATCTCACCCATAAACTAAAACGAGATATCCCAAACAAACTTGGGTATGTTCTGTTCATTTCAGTGTTTTTTAATAACGGTATTTTCACTGTTTTCAGTGTTTTCTCCCCAGTATAATCGTAAAACCGTAAGCCAATAGTGCCAACTTAACCTAACAAAACACAACTAACCACACAAACACAAAACACCTAACATTAATTTCAGCATATACTTATTTTCTATATAGTTTCTGTGTAGATAGTATGTATATGAATTTCAGGGACTCTTCGAGCTTCGAGCATATACTACTGGAGATACCATGCCATTACGAAAAGAGTGGCTGAGTGTGCGAGAGAGACAGACAGTATCTCAGTACATGCTGTCTCATTCTTCGCTTCAACAATGGGAACCTCTGAGCGCGAGCATTCATTTCTAACCAATCGCGTGCGTGCTAGAGTGAGATAGCAAGTACTAAGATACTGTCTGTATCTCCCCACACTCAGCCAAACTTTTCGCAATGGCATGCTACCTCTAGCAGTTGCCCTTTTCTTTTTATTCATGATTTCGGAATCATAACACGTTACGATCCGATGGAAACCAATCAGACTGCTATATTTCGGATCGAGCCAGTATATGTGTGTCGTCTCCATGAGTAAATGCTCGAAGGGGAGACTAGATAAGGCAGTGGCGGCTCGTTGTTTTTTGAGATAGGTGGGCAAAATATTTTTTCTCATGCAACTTAATATTTTATAGGAATAATTGCACTATAAGTTAGTCTATTTACTTTTGAATGTGTAACAAACTTAATAATTTTATGTATAATAATTTGCAAATTATATTAGTTAATCCAAAAGTATAATGGTTCAGCAAGAATCAACGAGAAGGTCAGAGTGATCTCTTGCCGGGATAGGGGATGAGGTAAGGATGAAGGTATATAAGGACATATAAAAAATAATGTAATTCTCTAAACAAATAGTAAAATTCTCTATCAGTTTTATAGCAGTAGCACTTACTGAAATTACTAACGATAAATTATAACAGAATTCTGATAAACAAATAAATAAATAATTCTAATAAATAATAATAATAATAAATAAATATTCTAAAAAGGATGAGAGGTAAGGTTAGTATGCGTATAAATCGTAAGTTATGTAAGTACGTATGTTTAGTATTCTTTATATGTTCCATGTTTATATATTAAATCTATACGTCTATCTTTGGTGGTAGCGAAATGATCAATTACTTTTTTGTGAAATTTAAATTCTTCTGAATTTTGAAGTGACTTGACTAATTCTGATTCAATTGTACTTGTGCTTAAATTACTTACTTAATCGTTTTTTGCTATTGAATTTCGAGAATATGTTTTAATTCGCTGAAAAACTTCTTTCTACGGATGCAGAGGTAGCAGGAAGTGACAAAATTAAATTGAATAAATTATAAATTTGTGGAATTTCATTTTTGAGATCATTGGTATATATGAATTCTAAAATTTCTGCAAAATTTTACGATTCTCCAAGAATATAATTAGATCGAAATACCAGACGCATAACTCACTGCGCAATTTTAATTTATCGAATGATTTTGGATAATTATCTATTAACGACTGGAATGTTGTCTCCGGAAAAGCATTCTTAAATTGAGAAAATATGTTTTTATTATCTATTATCTTATCTTAAAACTTCAGTTTTTCAAAATCTTTAAATCTGATATCTATTTGAGTTAATATTTACATCTAATATTTCATCGTAAAGCCTTTTGAAGTAGGTACCTAAGTAGTAGAATCGTTTAATTCGTCATAATCAGTTTTACGTCTCTTAGAAGGTTGTCCTACAGCTTGAGATATATTGGCAAAAAATTCATCAAAGTGCTGGTCATTTCGAAAATTTTCCAAATTTTTTAACAAATTTTGAATTCTATTTTTGCAATGTGCAACATCTGCAATTTTTTTTTTGTACAATATTAAAAACAATATCAGTCTGTGTAAATATAAGATTAAATGTATTTAACAGAAACAAAAAAGTAAAGTTTTCTAAAATTTTTATGAAACCTGCAGATTCTGGAACAGTTTCTTTATCATTTGCAAATTCATTGCTATTTAAAATTATGTTAAAAACTTTAATCAAATCATTTTTGTTATTAATTATGTTTTGAATCGTACGAGACTTAAAATTCCAACGCGTATTTGATCCACTCGGTAACCGTCTACCACTTCATCTAAAACACTAGTACGTTTTGTAGAATAACTAAAAAATGCTGATATTGCTGAAATATTTGCAAAAAAAATTCGACACTGATTTTTGTTGCAGCGTCCTATAATATTAAATTTAATCTATGCGCGTAGCAATGTATAAATAAGGCTTGAGGTGCACCTCAACATTTTAAATTTTTCTTTACAAACCGTTTAATTCGCCTGACATTACAGAAGCACCATCGTACGTCTGGCCTACTAATTTATTTTCTATCGAAATTTTTAAAATTTTCTGTCAACAAATGAAAAATTTCCTCGTTTTTCCCTTGCTTACATAAAAAAATTCCATAAATCTTTCAACTACTTTACCGCAATGAACATTTGCCATTTTGCTGTACTTTAAATTATTAAAGAATAAAAACTTACCTAAACGACTCTTACTAACCCTAACCATCTGGGGTCACGCGAGGTTGTCGTAACCACAAAGCTTCTTTGGAACATACATGTACGGTGTGCGTTAATATTCGCAGAAGTCTACAAGACGCACTAATATTTCTTTTTTTTTTTATAAAATCTAAATGAAAATCCTTCTCACGAACGTCAGTTTTTCGGTAATATTGCAAATGCAACTAAAAATTTCCAGATTCATTTAAAGCCGTTTGACCTTGAAAATTTGAAAATTTTCGCCAGCGGCGCTTTTTTTTATCTTTTTAGTCAATCAATTCTCTATGTCACGAGCCGCCACTGGCTATGAGTGACCTTTAGATTAGAAACAAATTTCAAAAATAAGGATGTTTGTTTCTTAAGAACATCGACAAAGTGATTACATAAGAACGGTTTATTTTCTTATATCATCAGTGATTATGCAAATATAACGGATGTGAATTAAATAAATGATGGTTTTACCAGTTAGAGCTATACATTTACGCTTACATAATAGATACTTTCCTATTAAAAACTTGATAAGAAATATCAGCACGGAGAAGGTAATTCAAATTATTTACTAGGTACTTACCATTACCAACTAAACCCTATTTCTAAATACAACTTACTGAGGATTTCTATAATACTTAGAATACCTCTGCAAGGTGTCCTCTCATGAAGGCGCTCTTTTTCTCATTTTTAGGAACAAAAGATTGATGTTAATGGACAAATTATAAATTATATAAAAGTTGGAAATGGAGAGAAAAAAATTTTGTGCTTTCCTGGGGCTCTGGGAACAATTTGGAGTGATTTTAAACCTCAAATTGAATTATTAGATAGGGAAAAACTTACAATCGTAGCATGGGACCCTCCTGGGTATGGCCATAGTCGACCTCCAAACAGAAATTTTAAATTAGATTTTTACAAAAATGACGCAGAAGTAGCATTTAAATTTATGAAGGTAAATTTTCATTCAATTATCCAAAGTTGTGCATTCAAATTTTCTTTTAGAAGTTGGATATTAACAAATTTTCTTTACTGGGATGGAGTGATGGCGGTATATCCAGTTTGATTTTAAGTTCTAAACATCCAGAACATATAGAAAAATTAGTAATATGGGGCGCAAATTCATATGTTTTACTGGAAGAAGTACGTTCTTATGAAAGTAAGAAATTAGAGCATGAGTTATCTAGTTCAAAAAGTTTTATTTTAGAATTACAAGATATTCACATGAACGATTTTTGTTTTTAAATATCACAAAAAAACTGAATTTTTTAGCATTTAAAATATTAAATTTTTATAGAGATCAGAGATATTAGTAAATGGTCGGAAAGAATGAAAGCACCCCTTATAAAATTGTATACAGAAAGGGGCTTACAGGATATGTGGAACAGTTGGTGTGACACGCTTAAGGTCATTCAAAGAAACGGGGGAGACATCTGCAAAGACGATTTACGAAATATAAAATGTCCCACTTTTATTTTGCACGGTGACAAAGACCCAATGGTTGCAGCTGAACATCCAGAATATTTAAAGTCTCACATAAACAACGCTAAGTAATATCCATCTTCTTTTTAAAATATTGTAATTGTTTTGAATTTTGTTTTAGGTTGTATAGATTTCCAGAAGGTAAACATAACATTCATTTAAAATATGCTCAGGAATTTAATAAAATCGTGACCGATTTCTTATTAAATTAAGGATTTATTATAATTTTTTTAAATATAAACTATATAAATATATTTTTATGTAAAGAAAAAGTTTAATAAAACATTATTTTGGGTACATTACCTTAATTTTATTTGAAACAGGTATGTCACAACACCAGCGCATTAGTATTCCAAATTTAATGCTATAATATATAATACATAATGTAAGTTTTTCAAAACTTACATTATGTAACTTTCCCGAACTACTTGAACAGAAAAAAAACAAATTCTTACACCACACATATTTTTCCAAATTTTCAAAATTATTAAGAAACCCTTTATCCTTATTTGGGTGGGACCAACGATTTTATAAAATCCTTGGGGTGGGACATCTTATTTTTTAGGTGGGTGATGAACTACCCCTTATTACGTCCCTGGATTGAAACTATTAGCACGAATACTTAGATACAGCTCTGGATTCAGGTCGAAATTTTTTGTTCTAGTGCAATGGAACCAATTTTTAACATATACATCACGGATTTCTTAAATTAAATGACGTTTGATCTACAGAACGATAAAGATTCAGGTACACATATTTGCATTTTAAGGAGGTCTAAAACTCAATAAAAAAAATGACTTTCAGACCCTAAAGGGGGTGAATTTATGTTAGCATAATATAATAATTATTTAATAATATATTGCTATTTGCAGATACAGAAATTGCAAATGACGGTTGTCAATACCTTAAAGAAAATGATGGAGTGTTTGACCAGAAAGATGATGAGGATGAAGATAGTGATGATATGGAAGGCGATGAGGAATCAA